ATGGCCGGTAAAATATTTTATTATTAATAATATTTTATATTAATAACATTTTTTATTAAAATATTTTAATCTCGCCAGATACGGCGAGGGTGGCCCTCGCGTCGGACATTAGAAGCTACATTAAAAATCAAGAAAAAGAAAAAGAAAAAAAATTGATTCTCATTTTTGTTCCCAGAATCAAGAAACTACTTTTTTTTTTTTATTCTTGATTCTGCTCCAAAACTGATTCTGGGCACAAATTTGCAAGAATTTGTGCCCAGAATCAAAAAATTTAACAAACGGATTTCTGTTCCAAAACTGATTCTGGGAACAAAAGAACAGAAATTTTCACTATTTGGCCAGTTGCCAAACATGCCCTTAGCGCCCTTTCAGTTCCTAGCTTGAGAGTGCGTTATCTAAGTGGCCACACGATCTTGATTACCAATTGTAGCCCTAAGGTATCAAAACCGCTAAGTGTCAATCCAAATGTTTTTGTAGGGTTGTTTTTTCCAATATTTAGACTAGTCTTAACCTAATCTAGGAAAGAAATTAACACTCAATTCATTAAAAAGCAGTGTAGCAAGTAAACAACCAAGAAGTTGAAATGACTTGAAAGTAAATGTGGGAAAAGAAAACCCGATACGAGTTGGACAAAGAATATTATATGGCCTTGTTATTACACCTCGAGACAGGACCCCCGTGAGTGAAATGGGAATTTAGATATGCATGAAATTACTCAAAATGCATGTAAATACGCTAGATAATTCTAATCTACACAAAATTAGATTATTTACAAAAATGGTTATAAAATACCAAGATAGCACTAAATTAGGAAAAAAATTTAAAATGCCATTTCTGCCCCAAATTTAGCACTAGTCTACCTTTTTAGATTTTCTTGGAAAATTTCCTATTTTTCAATTTTTTATGTTTTATTTTTAAAAATATATATAAAAAAATTCACTAAACCAACCTATGCTTGATTTAAATGAGCATGGACCTACTCATAATAGGAATATCACAATAACCAAGCTCGAATCGGCCGTCTCAAGATCAAAACTTGGTTTGGGCATTTAGTCGAACACTTGGCGTGCATTAAACCACCCCGAATAGCTTCCTCGAGCCATATTCACGGTCTTCAATCTCGACCCATAAGCACTTTTAAGTGGAAATAAAGTATCCATGTTATACTAATACATGTATTAAACATAATTCACTGAAATTAGATCCTAAAACACACAATAACACGACTGAAATTAGCCTCGAATATGTGGGTCTGACCCGTTTTTGCAAATTGGTTTTGAACCAGGTCAAGCAAACAGGTTGCATGCCCGGATTTAATCCCTGAAACTTATCACATGCGAGACATACGGGAAAATACACTCAATCCTAATGAAAGTGGGTAACATGAGCTTTCAAATTTGCTGAGTTCCTTGGAGAATGATCAACTACACACATCAAACCAATCTCTCAAAGTAACCTTCGTGCATGATCCAAACTAGCCAGCCATGCACCAGTGTGGATCGTCTCAACTTTTTGTTTGAGTTCTAAGCGATCTCAGGGTTCACACAACGGTTAAAGGACCAAACCAAGCTGACTTAGACATCCTTTCGACTCACGTATAACATTCATCAAGCTCGCGAAGACAAATAATGCATACAAAGGGGGTAGCAAGTCAAACATGTGGGGCCTCTTGAAGAGATTTCAACACCAAGAAAAATTCCAGCTTCAGAAATCAGTTTTCTGAGCTGGTTTTCCTCTCAATTTTCCATGGTTAGACCATAGTCAAAATTGAACAAAAATACATCTATAGTCCTTTCCTTGTTTCCTAGTTTCTTTGTGAAGTATCTCTTGGCCGAGGAAACCAAGAAATCGTCCTCTCAAGGCCCCTGGAAGTCGGCCCCTTCAAGCTGAAAACTGGGACCTGCGAAGAAGAAAAATGAAAATGAAGGCTTTTGTTAGCCTCCAAGAACAGGTTCAGAGATCCTTTTTGTCGATCCCATTGACGTCTGCTACAACTAGATGTACTCTAGTTTAACTTACAAGTGATGGTTTGCTTCAAATGTCCTCATTTTGCTCAAAAACTTTAACTTCCCATCCCCAGTGATCATCTGACTTCAACACCCAGCACAGTTTCTGGGCTTCCATTTTTTTCCGCGAATAGGGTGTTTTTCGAGGGGATTTTTGGTTCCTTCCCGACGTCCATTTGGGACGTGCGACCTTTGGTTGGAAATTTTTTTGAGTATATTTTCACTCTCTAGTTGAATGTTTTGGCTAATTTTGGCTGGAAGTTTGTGAAAATTTCATTTTTCTCTCGAAGGGTCAATCTGGAATTTCTGGGTTGTCTTTTGAGTTGCTTCTGGGGTGAACATTTTTGGAACCACCGTGAACTCTCCCCTCCTTCTCTTGTCTCGAACTCCCCCCCACAAAATGAGCGTGCTTCGGAGATCTTATCTACTGAATTCAGCAATCTTTTGGTATCTTATCTACTGAATTCAGCAATCTTTTGGTAAGTCCTTCCCCACCTACCAAGCCTGCAAACTCAGCTGCTTCGCCCACTCTACTCCGCCAAATTTGTCGAGCTTTTGCAGCTGTTGAGTGAGCGATCTTGGCTGAGATTTTCACGTGCCTCCGGCAGCTTTTCCCTGGAAATTTTTTTTACTATTTGTACTCCTAATTATGGTCTTCCACCGCAACCAGATATCAGGCCTATTGGGCGGCTGAGTAGAATATGGCGGGGCCATGAAGTTGCTTACTCAGCAGCCTCGAATTGAGACCAAATTGCGGACTGGGTTTTGGCAGCTGGTTTGAGTGCTTTAACCCATCACTTTTGTCAGGGTTTTTGATCAATTTGCGAGTTCATGTAAATTACTTTAAGTCTCTTATCATGCTTTGCAATTATCTCTACCCGAAATTGTAAGGAAGTCCCTCAAATTTGGCCATTTTTCTGCCCGAGAATGCCCAATTTGATTCAATTTGGTCCTTTAGGCTTGATTTGATCAATCAGACCTTGCTCAAGTTCAATTTCAAGCTTAATTAGGGGTAAAAATGATGATTTAAGGGCTTGGGGGCAAATTTTACAAATTTTGCTATTTGGTCCCCTAACTTTTGGAAATTGCATTTTGGCCCCAACTTGCTGGTTCATTTGCAATTTGACCACTCAGGTCTTGGCTAGTCACACTCAGATCTTTGGCCCTTGCTATTTTTTTTTTAAGGTAGACTTCAAGAAGAATAATTCCATTTAAAAACTATGAAATATTTTTGTGGAAAAACAAGTTCTAATTTTTCAAAAATGATTTTTGGGCAAAAAAATTTAGGTGTCAACGGTTATCATGCTTTATTTATCTCGATCTATCTAATGTTGACAAAAAGGGGGAGATTTACGGGTTATAAGCGTTGAGGAGATTTGTATGTGTTTTTCATTATACATGGTTGATATTGAAATCTCTAGTGCTGTTGACATTAACATGTAGTTATATGATCATTGCAGATTTCGAAACATCTAGATGGACAAGACATAAAGTAACATTGAGCCTTATTTTGAGTTAAATTCATTTGAGAATATGTTGTCTCGCAATATTTGTGTTAGAATGAAAATTTCTTGAAAATCCCTAAAAGTTTACACTCTGTCATTCCTATCTTTTGAAATGCGATGTCTTTGTCTCTCTATTTTCATTGAAAATATTAAAAGAAATCAACTATATGCTTAAGTGATTCTTTTGTGAACAAGATGTCTAATTGAGAAGCAGTCTTTTTTACTTTACGCGCAAATTCTTCATATCTTATCTACGAGTCCTCATAAAAAAAGGTGGAAATTGTAAGGAAAACATCCATATGGAATTTTGATGATTCCAAAACTATTCTTGGTACCAATAATTGCTATGATAAATGCAGATAGTATGATAATCTTACAGATGCCAATATTTCCAGAGAACAAGTGCTAATATGACTATTAGCTCTGGAAGCACCAAAGTCGATCCAGTGTTCTTGAAGGTCTTGGGAGACCGATAAAGTCGAAAGGATCATTGATCTTAAAGTTGCGTGTCATTTTGTCAATACTGTCACTGAAGATCATCGACCAACTTGTTGATAATCTGCATGTGCTGATAATGAGTTTTGGATTGTGCTGATATCGAATTGCGAGTGATGATGGTAAAGTATTCATCTGAATATGACCATTGATGGTACAAAAAATTAGCCATTATAAGTTTGGAATCCGTAGTGGGAAAATCGAAAAAAGAAATCATAAAGGCAATTGATAGGCTTTTGCATCGAACCAAGTATCAGTGAAGTGACAGCTGCAATAAACTCTATTTCAGGAAACTTACAGATTTCGGAGGAAAAGATTGTATGGGCAATCCCGATTCTAGCAAGGGTCTCCACCTACTTTCAAACGGCTATCTTGATTTGCTTTAGAGTCTCCAACGCACCTATTGAAGACTTCTATATAAAGAGGATCAGCGAAACTGGGTAGAGATTGGAAGTGGGAACTACCGAGAATACTGTAGTTGCACTTCAACGCTTGAGATCAGAAATCTTCTTTGTTCTTTATTCGATAAAGTTTCTGTAATCCATTGTAATTACAAATAGTCAAGTATACAAGTGTAAGAGCACTTGTAATATCTTGATGGCGCGTTCAATCGTTTAAAAGGAACAGTACACGCTAGTTGTAGCTTGCATTGCTGATCACCAGTGGAATCCAACTATGTTTAAATGTTAATATTTGGAGAGCGGACGTAGATTTGGAAATTGCTATGTGCTTTTACTTCTAGAGTTCATCATCTACGGTATCTGTTCATTATCTTCACATTCGCTGCTTCTTCTTAATCACATCTTGCTTGTTATTGCTTTTAACATATTTCGAGAAAGTTTTTCATAATTTTTTTTTTATCAGTGCATTCGAACATCCTTGGCCGTTGATTTGTTAGGACCAACGAAAAATCCCATCCGCTCATAGCCCCCGAACCGCAACCCAAGATCATCACTGCCCAAGTAGAAGCGCCCCACGTCAATCGCCACGCCATAACCCCCTCCTCCACCTTGTAAGGAAAGCTGAGAAGCTGAAAGCTCGTCGATCGTCGTCCCCCTCGAGCGCAGAATTCTCTTCTTCGCCAACCGTCGTCCGTCAAATCAAAACACGGTTCTCCCCAAGATGCAATCGATGGATGCGGAACAAGTCCCATCCACCTCGTATCTCTCGTTGGGACCTGGAAGAAATGCGTGAGCAAACCCTCATTTTTGTTCTCGCCCTTTCTCATGAACAAATTCGCATGCTCGGTTCCCGACATCGGACGGTGTGTGTTTTTCATACGACACTGATTTATATTCATCTCTTCTTTTTGGATGGCTCGCGTGATGTAGGTATCCGTACGTGACGGGCGCGTCTGTAGCAACAAAAAAAAAAAGTACAGGGATGGGATTCTGATGGCTGCTGACATGGGAGGTTAGCTTCTTTGATCGATCGGTTTTGCGATTCCCTGATGCTGGTGCACTTTGATTTTGCATATTGGGGGACTTTCGCTTGGGGGAAATTTTGGTTCTTTTGTCTGTGTTAGGGAATTAGATATCTGTCAGGCCCCTAGAATGATGGTTAAGAGGTTTGAGTCGTTTTTGAATGAGTTTTAAGATGATCGATTGTTGTTGCTTCCTGAGATGATTGAGTTTTTTTTTTTTTTTTTTTAAGATGATCGATTGTTGTTGCTTCCTGAGATGATTGAGTAATTAAGGTTTATTTCTTGGTTGACCAACTATCTCCGAAGAAATGCGGGAGCATCCAGAAGAAGAGTCCGAGGAAACTCATTGTAGCAATTAGGATTAATTATCGTGTATGATGGAAATTTAGGAATATCTGTAGTTCTCCAATGGCATTGTCTTAAGGTTGGAATTGTTGGATATTGTTAGGGTGATCTTTTCCGGGTTAAATTACCCAAAGCGAGTGAAAAAGGCTGTTTGTCAATTTTTAATGTTTATGAAAATCAGTGCTACCGAGTGTCGCTGTGAGGTGTTTAAGGGTAGACTGGTTTGGAATGCATTGAGATGGTCTCCTTGTCCCCTTTGTGGATAGAGATGATTCTGTCAGTATTTGATTGACTTGTATCAGTGTTCCATTTACTATAATTGGTTGTTACTTATGCAGATAGGTGCTGATTCACCTATCTTTTAAATGACACAATTGTATTTCTGAATATATGTTGTTGACTTCTGAAATTTTTATTTGAGGAAAATTTTAGCTCTATGTTTTCCATGTTGAAATATGAGAATTTGGATTAGTTTGAATACAACAGCTTGATACTTATGCTTTTCAAAAGAAAATCGGTTGCTGAATGTCTTTTTTTGGCAGTACCTGCCCGCTGTCGCGTTTAAAGGAAAATCAGAAAAGCTGTTTAGGGCTGCACTTCTCCTTTTGCTCTGGCATGCTATATATCTGCTCATTATGAACATTCGTGTTCATCAGCCATGCTAGAAGGAAGCATTCTACTGCTTGCGTACTTTCTTCCGTTTCAACTATTTCTAGTTAGTGAAGTTATCATAACTACATAACTTTCAAAGTTCTTTAACTTTAGATAATATAGTGATCTCAGAACTAATTTCCACTTGTTGTTTGCTTACATGTTCTTGTAACATGGATATTGCATCCTACATTCTCCTTAATTGTGACTACATTAGTGTTTTGCTTATCTCGGTGTTCTGATAGTGACAAATATTTCACAGGTTCTACTGGATCCACCTTGGCATACAAAAATGTTGAGCGAATAAAGGCTATTGGACAACATTCTCTCCTGGGTGCAAGTGGAGAGATAAGTGATTTTCAGGAGATATCGCGTAACCTTGGTGTATTGACGTATGCATCAATTGATTAAGTAGAAGCAGCAAATTTTTTTTTTATTGCTGAGTATTTGTTACCCTGCTTCTCTAACTTTGAGGCTGCTTCTGACCAAGATGTTTGATTCTGGGGTCTGTTGTTGCAGTTTTTACGATGATGCGTGGGATGATGGAAATTCCTTGGGGCCCAAAGAGGTGCATAATATTCTGGCTCTGGTAATGTATGATAGATGGAACAAGTTCAAACCATTGTGCAACTCGCTAGTTCTAGGTGGAGTTAAGAATGGAGAAAAGTATCTTGGCGTGGTGGGTCTCGACCCTTGGTGAGATTCATTTGACTTTTCAGAATGTTGTCGAATTCTCCTTCACTTGTCCTGCAATTTTATCCAGGTTAGCATGATAGGTGAGAAATCCGAATATAACTATGTGGCTACTGAGACTGGCAATGATCTAGCGCTGCCAATTCTTCGCAAGGAGTGGAACGAGAACTTGCGTTTCGAAGATGGTGTTAAGCTATTGGAAAAGTGCATGCGTATGATTCTGTATTATGACTGTTCTGCAGTCAACAGACTTCAGGTTCTAGTCTTCTCTGTGTTATAGTTTATGGTTTTCTTTATTTCTCAATGTTTGCATATGGCAGCATAGAATAAGGTTTGGATGTGATGGTATTGTGTCAGTTGTTGGCATTTTCTTCCTTTTCCTTGGCGAACTGATGCACACTAATGCATCCTCCTTTTGTTAAGGAAAGAATGTCTTACTTGGGACTGAGAGGGAGAATTACAGTGTATCCTTTTGTGGATTACGTAATTGCACATCCAGCCCCCACATTATAAGACCTGCGCCCTGACCCCCCTCTTGTATCCACCATTGCGAATTTGGTCCATGCCCTCTCTACATTTTCACTGAAGCAGTCCAACCCACCCATGATGCATGATTATTACCTGGCTGTATAATGATTAGTCATGGATGACTTGAATTGCTTCGTATCTTAAAAAACTGAGATGTTTCCAGACAGATCTGAAGTCTGCATCTTGAGGATGAATATCAAGTTGTTTCAAGCTCTTTGTCCCCCGAATCTTCTTTCCAGTATAAGTTTTGAATTTTCTTGGGAAACCCCATATTCTAAGTCACAGTTGGAACCCAGGAGATATCATACTGTTCTGTGGGATTTTAGCCTTTTATATTGACATTTGAGAACGCTAGCGCTTGATTTTGTATTTAGTTTTGAGTTCTCTCTTTTTCTTGCTTCAGAGCAGTTTCTCATATTTATTGAGCTACTACGCAATCCATGTTATAAACAACTAAAGTGTACTGAGGGGACTGAGCATGAAGAGAGAGAGGGGGCGGACAAGTTGGTTTCATAGTGCTTAGGGCTGTCGTCAGTTTTGACATATAGTGATTGACTAAGACAGTGGAGAATCTTCTCACTGGTCATGTTCCTTATAGGCAGCAATTGATCTCCTCTGGTGCATGACTTCATTTTGCACTCTTTTGTTGCAATTGCCTTGTGTGTTCTTCTGTTTGTTCCCTTGCATTTTGCTTATATGTTTTTCGCAGAGCGGGCATTTGACATGTTCTTTTTGTAATACTGACAGTAGCTTCATTTCGAACCATCTAAATGAAATGGCTCACTTGACTTGCAGATTGCAAAAATCACTGAAGAAGGAGCAACAATTTTTCCACCCTACTCTTTGAAAACCTTCTGGGGCTTTGAAGCATATAAGAACCCCACTGTTGGCGCAGAAGGTTCATGGTGAACTTTGATCTCAATATTATATTGTTTATTTAGACGCTGACCTTGTCATGTTAATCATGTGATGTAACACTTATATTTTATTTGTTATTTCAATTATACTTTATGTATTGTATTAGCAAAAACTGAAGCATGTTGTGAGATCTTGATCTTTGTTGATTTCGTGTAATCTATACTTGGTCAGTTTTGTGTCTAAATAATTATATTATATATTTAATAGAATATTTTCCTATTGGTTTTGGGACCTATAAATGAGCCGCAGGTTGTCACTGGGTCCTAATTCTTTATAAGGGTTCATGCGTTCGTTAAATGCATGTGTAATACGAAATTAACATCAAATGTGATGCACGTAAGGAAAGACTCAAACAGACCAGGTTCAGCTTCTTAATAATGAGGCCCCTTTAGAAAAATTTGTTTTGAGTCGCTATTTTTAAGTTATCAAGCTTCTACAGCCACCTCACATGCAGAATATTTAGGATTTGTATAATAACGAAATAATCTACGTTGTTTACCAGGACAGTAAACCAATATTGCCAAATTAATTGAAGTCCCATGCGCTGCATGGACCAAAAGTTAATTCTTTGAAATAATTGTTTTGGAGATATATGGTCTAATTTTACGAAGTGAGTGTTCATTTCTCAACCAAACAACGAAGTTCTATTAGGAACATAAGAATCATTAGTTTTGTCATTCTTCTTAAAACATGTCATGGTTCATTTGAATGTTGTTAAATAGATGTTTAAAGCATATTTATGCATTGTATCAACAAAAACTGTAGCATATTTCTCCTAATGTCATGCTCACAGCTCTAGCATGGTCTGGCAACAGGTTTTGTTGCACATTTGGTTGGGCATCTTTGAACGATAACACATCCTTGTCCAGTAAATTCTAGACTTTGTTTTCCATGTCCAGCAACTATTTGTGTTATGACTCTTCCCCCCATGTGATATTCACACGACTTGGATAATTTGAATCTAAGAAACTAGGGAGGATTATCTCGAGGAACTTCGTTGCCATGGTGTTCTCTTTCTATTCTGATACAATTCGGAAATCCTCTCGCATGGTGCCGATGGCCTTTGGCCTTTGAGGAGGTGCCGAGATACCATCGGGGTTTAAATAAAATGCCACCTCAAAGAAAGGCTCCTCCTCTTTTCTTATTGGAAAATTTATGCTAGTTCCTTCGTGCATCTTTTCCATCACGTATAGCCCACTTGATTCTTTCTCCAACCGCGACTAACCAGGGGAACATGTGGCATCCAGAGCTTATCATCTTCACAAAGAATTCATACGGGAGAGTTTGAGAAACAATTCCATCATCTCCTCATCGAGGAGGTGGGACTTGGGTGGCCGTTGTACGCCAACGCTGAGCAAATGCTCTAAAAGTTTTGATCCGCTTCTTCTCAGTTCGAACTAGTTCTTCATGTGTTGAGGCAATCTCAGTGTTGTACTTGTACTGCAGGATAAAGGCCTTTGCCAAATCCTCCCACTTCACTATTTTGTCCGGCTCAAGGAGTATGAACCACTGCAAGTGCTGGTCCCGATAGACTCTCCTGAAATGTCTGAATTAGTAGAGGAACATTATCCAAGTACTTCCCATTCTCATGAGGTAATATTTCAAATGAATCTACGGATCGCCAATTTTATC